ACACTCACACACACTCACACACACTCACACATACTCACACACTCACATACTCACACACACTCATACATCAGCTCTCTTATCCTGGAGAAATGCTAAAAAGCAGACTCAAAGTATCAGGGCTAGCTAGCTGCAGTGCAGGGTTGATAGCACACAGCACAGATGTTCGTCATTTAATGAGGCTCAGTAAAGAAGAGTGGAATTCTCAAAAATCCCTTATAATACAAAGTATGTGTGCCCAGGGGGACAGGACTCAGGACCGTTATTAATCTGGTAAATCGCAATATGCTGGGTTTCATTATGGAAGAAACTGTGCCTCAAGGAACAAAGAAGAACAGAGGAAGCAGCCTATGCAGGGAGCAAGTACAGGCAGGCCTTCAACACACACACACACACACACACACACACACACTGCATTGCACTGTGTGGACAGAAACTTTCCTCAGCCTATCTCAAAAGCTTGCAGGGAACCCAGCAAACTACCATTTCTAAAATGCCCCACGCAGGAAAGGACAAGGATTGTCAGACCCAGAATGAATCCTAAATGCTCAGAATATTCCCAATTTTCCCCCACAAAGATGCAACTGGGTCTGACAAGAGTAAATGTCCTACCCCATTAAGACCAAATTTGTGATATTCAGTTTCCAAGTAACGGGCTATTTGAGGTAAACTGAAAGAAAGAGTGATGGCTTCTCTCATGTTCCTCTATGACAAACATGGAGATTCAATCTTCAGAACGCTTTAAAATACTAGTAAATGTGGCTGAAGACAAAATCTTTGCTAATAACAGGCTTTGATTATGCTAGTGGGCATGACCCTACACTCAACTAGTCAGTGCCAAGACTGGGGTGTAAGGTCTTAGAATGATGCTGAGTTGGTAGAATGTTTGCCTGGCATGTGTACAGCCCTGGGTTCAATCCCCAGCCTGGCGGTACACATCTGTAATCGCAGCATCCTACAGCTGGAAGCCAGAGGATTAGAAGTTCAAAGATATCTTCAGCTATATATTGAGTTGGAGGCTAGCCTAGACTACATAAAGATCTATCTAAAAGAAAAAAAAAATCTGGATCTTAAACTCTGGTTTGACCCAAAATGGAGTTATCATGTTCTCCATTGGTAATCTGAAGTGAAAGAAGGGTTTTATTGCTTTAATATGCATTTAGTCACTAACAGTGAGCATATTTTATGGGTTTTGCTCATTTTTCCTCTATTTTCTATTACTTTTTTGAGTTTTATTGCTTACTAAAGAGTTTGATGAGCATAGGAATTATCCCTCACTATATGTAATGCTATGTGTTACATTAAGTTATATTCTGTTTTAGTATTTGTTGTTCAATCACAGCTTTGACCTGGCTCATCACCGAACCCAGACCAGTGCCCTGATAGTTATTCTAACAAAATCATTAAAGATAGTTTCCTCCACTGACTTGAAATACCACCCTGTTATCATGTTTTCAGAAGCCCATTTACTTTTCTTTGGCATCCCCCCCCCCAAGCCAACACTATAGTTCTGTGTGGCCAATTGAAGGGGGCCTGTGAAAACCTAGACTATAAGGGCTGAGCCCCTCAGCCTCCCTCGCAGATGTACAGGCACCAGGAACTGACACAGAATGGGCCCTTGCCGAGCAGCTGTGTGCAGAAGGAAGTGAGTGGGGGTAAATCAAGCCTTGGGGAGGATGGGGTGTTATGGAATACTGGAGCTTCTAATGAATGAGCCTCATGGAGTAAAGACAACCAGAATGAATGACCCTGTGTCCTAGAAATGGATAAAATATGCAGACTCTGCTCCCGGGCTGCCAAGATTCCCTTTATGACTGCCCGTATTAAGATAAAATGGCTGCTGTTATTTGCCTCCTGTTTTTACATTTAAATAATTTCAGTGATTTAAGTGCAGCTGCCCCTCAGTGCCCTCAGGGATTGGTTCCAAGATGTCCACAGATAGCAACATTCACATGCTCAAATTCCCTGTGTAAATGGCACACACTGCACAAACAGTCCTCAGACACATACTCCACTTTAAACCATCTCTGGATCACAAATTTACCTAAAAATAAAGACATGTTATGAAAACCATGGCATGCCTTCTACTAGGAGATAAAGAACAACCTCTGCGTGTGTTCAGTGCAAATTCGGGTATTTTAAAACACCAGTTATAAGAATTTCATACAATAGTTTGATCTTATCTTTTCCTTCCCTCCAGCTCCTCCCAGATCCTTCCAAACACACCCAACTTGGGTTTCTTCCCTTTCTTTAAAACAAACAAACAAACAACAATAGAGCATGGAATCAGATTTGTTTTGGCTGACCTACTCCTGAGCCCGGGGCCTGCTGGAGTGTGACTGATATAGTATCAAGCCATTGGAGAAAACTGAGTTTTCCTCTCCTTGTGGCTGTCAATTCTGGATAGCCTCTGGGTTAGGTGTAGGACTTCATGCCCACTGCCCTTCTTCCACGCTGGGTCTGGCTGGAGCTTGTACATGGTGCACAGTCTCTGTAAATTCTTATGTTCATCTTCCCTGTTGCATCTGCAAAACAGTGCTTCTTACAATCTCTCTCTGCCCCCTTTCCTGCAAAAGTAAATATAATCTTTCATTAATTTTTTCATATCATGTGTTTTGATCATATTCACCACTACTCCTCTCCTAACTCCTCCCAGATTCACCCCACCTCCCAGCTTCATGTCCTTTTATAAAAACAACCTACTAAGTCAACCTTGTGGCTCCTACATGCTTATGGGTGTGAGGCCATCCACTGAAGCAGTAGTTGATCTACCAGAGGTGACGGCATTGAAGAAAACAAGCTCTCCCTCCAAGAGAAAATCATCAACTGCTCTTCAGCTATGGGGGAGGGCTCATGATCCCCTCTCCCCTTCCTGCTGGAATGCTGGAATGTTGACTGGCTTTGTCTTGGGCAGGCAGCCACAGCAGGATCCTATCCAGAAAGGGCACTGCTTACTTTGGTCCTCACTGACCTCTATCCTATCCAGAAAGGGCACTGCCTACTCTGGTCCTCCCTGACCTCTAGCTCTTACAGTCTTTCTGCCCCTCTTCCTCAATGGTCCCGGAGTCTTGGTGTCTCAGTTACTAGTTTAGCTGGTGATTGTAATGCTTAGCCTTTAGCACTCTCTTCTGACTTTCTGAGATCTCCACTGACAAATGTGGTGTGAAAATTCACTTCCTGCCACCCTGGTCCAGGCTCACCTTGCAGTGGCCATTTACTCATTCGTTACAGTTCCCTAGTGGACAAGAGGTGGGTGCGGTCCCTAGCTGGGGGATTCGGGAGGATGACTGATTGTGCTTCTCACCCTGCAGGTGGTGATCGAGTCTGACTTGTACCCGCCAATGAGGCCTCTGGAGCTGCTGCCTCAACGCTGTGAGCGCAGGGACACAGGCGACCGCAGGTGGCTGCAGACTGGCCGGCTGCAGACTGCCAGGCCACCCGGGACGCATCCCACCAAAACCTCCATCAGACCTGGTATGTGAGTCTCAGTTCCCCAGGTTCAGGGACCCTTGAGAGCCAGTGATGTGCCCGAACCAGCAAAAGTTCAGCAACAGCTTATATGTGTTCTATCCTGGGGTGGGAGGCGGGGAACGGCAGCAGGAGCACCAACATCTCCTCCCTAGACTCCCTAGGTGCAGTGTGAGTGAAGATGCCTGTGTGTGTGTGGCTGCTCACTGTTCAGAAGATGCTCGTCATTGTGCCCTGAGCAAGAGCCATGGGACTAGGAAGAAGCACACGGTGTGTGTGTGTGTGTGTGTGTGTGTGTGTGTGTGTGTGTGTGTGTGTGTGTGTGTGTGTGTATTGCTATCTTGAAACTATTTTATGGGCCGGCGGTGATGCCGCATGCCTTTAATCCCAGCACTTGGGAGGCAGAGGCGGGTGGATTTCTGAGTTCCAGGCCAGCCTGGTCTACAGAGTGAGTTCCAGGACAGCCAGGGCTACACAGAGAAACTCTGTCTCGAAAAAAAACAAAAAACAAAAACAAAAAACAAAAAACAACAACAAAAAGAAACTATTTTATGGCTGACGAAGGTTTAGCTCAGTGAAAGGCCTTAGATTCATCCTCAGTACTATAACCATGGTCATAACAACCAAACTGTACCTTTGGGGTGGGGGTGGGGTGGGGTTGGGGGAAAAGACAGGATTTCTCTGAGTAGACTTGGCTGTCCTGGAACTCACTCTGTATACCAGGGTGGCTTCGAACTTACAGAGATACACCTGCTTTCCCCTGTACTGGGATTAAAGGCATGTGCCACCATGCCCAACTACCCAAATTGTAATATTTTTTAATTTGAATGACTTAATATATATAAAAAGAATTTAGAGGCAAACCTATTTGAAAACTAGAAACAGTGATGTTACCTTGGATACTAGTTTTTTTTAATGGCTTGCATCCTAAGCAATAAAAATAGGATTCAGCTTCTAGCCCACTGATGTTTCTAATAGTATTTTCTCTTTAATTGATAGTTTGGGCATTTTTTTTCTGTTGTGACAACAACAGAAAGTTACTCATGTTATAATTCTAAAATACACTGAGAATGATGGCATACACTTGTAATCTCAGCATTTGGGAGGCTGAGACAAGAGAAGTGTCATTAATTCAAGGTCAGCCTCGGCTTCAGGAGGATAGCCTACCTCAAAAACAAACAAAAACCAGGAGTTGGGAGACAGCTCAGTTGATAAAGTATTTGTGACACAAATATTAGGGCCTGAGTCCAATCTCCAGACTCCACATAAAAAGCTAGGTGTTGGTGAGAGAATCTTGGGGCTCCCGGCCAGCCTAATATGCAAGCTTCAGATCTCAGTGAAAGATTGTCTCAAAAACAAAGCAGATGCCATCAAAAGAAAGACACCTGAGGTTAACTTCTCGCCTTCATATGCTACCCTTCATGTACCCTCATACACTAACATGAACATACATTTGTACATACACAAGAAGAAAGAAAGGAAGAAAGAAAGAAAGAAAGAAAGAAAGAAAGAAAGAAAGAAAGAAAGAAAGAAAGAAAAGGAAGGGGATGGGAGGGAGGAGAGAAGGAGAAAGAGAGAGAGAGAGAGAGAGAGAGAGAGAGAGAGAGAGAGAGAGAGAATGAATATGAACCCTGCATGGTGGTTCACACCTATGATTCCAGAGGCAAGAGAATCAGAATGTCAAGGTCATCTTGGCTACCATAATTAGTTTAAGGCCAGGCTAGAATACATGACCCCTTATCTGAAAAGAAACCGAGAGGAGGGCAGGTATAGATCAGGTATGGAGCATGTCTTAGTTAGGGCTTCTAGTGCTGTAATGAAATAACATGAGCAACTCCCCAAAAGCAACTTGGAGAGGAAAGGGCTTATTCAGTTTACATTTCCATGTTGTAGGAAAGTCACAGAGGGAACTCAGTCAGGGCAGGAAGCTGGAGGCAGGAGCTGATGAAGAGAGCACAGAGGGGTGCTGTTTAATGGCTTACGCATGCTTTCTTATAGAACCCAGGATCTTCAGCCCAGTGATGGCACTACCCCTATAGGCTGGGCCATCCCCCATCAATCACTAATTATGAAAATGCCCTACAATCAGATCTTAAGGAAGCTTATTCTCAATTAAGGTTCCCTACTTTCTGATGACTCTAGCTTATTTCAAGCTGGCATAAAACTCACCAACATATAAAGCTTAACTCAAACTGCTAACATTTTGTGAGAAACATCTAATTCATCGATTGGGAAGCAATACAGGTAGTAAGCAATATGCTCAGGACATAGACTAATACAACATCTTAATCTATTTTCTTTTGTTAATTACAAAATATCATCAACTGATATATCATAAAGAAGAGAGGTTGATTTGGGTGTGATCCAGTGCCAATGGATTGTACCCAAAGATGGCTTCTCTGTGGGCAGAGTCCAGAGTTTGCACAGGACACTTACACAACCAGAGACAGGAAAACATATGAGAGATATATTCAAACTGGCTTTTACGGCAGACCCATTTTTGAGATAATCTATTAACCCAAAAATTGGTTAATCCATTCATGAGGCAAAACCTTAATATAAAAGGTCCTACCCTGGTCTTTCCTCTTTTTATTTTAGGCACTGGGACTAGACTAGAGGCTTGCATGTGTGATGTAAATACTCTTCCACTGAGTTGTATCTGCAGCCCTAGTTTGATTTTTGAGGTGGAGTCTTACGACATCTTTCAAGCTAGCTTGGAACTTGAGATCTGCTGCTTTTGCCTCCCAAGGGCTGAGAATACAATGTGGTCCCGAGTCTCTTCATATCTCAAATGGAGATTAGGTTTCAAGATGAGTTGTTGAAAAGTAGACACAATCAAAGTATAGCTAAGGAAGTAAAGCCCTGGGAGTTAAAGTGGGAACCTTCATGATGGAGCCCTTCTGAATGTCAGAATTCCCCTAGAAAGAATTGTAAAAACCAAGTTATGTGCCATTTGATGTATTGGAATTTAACTAGGGGGAGTTGTTTGTTTGTTTGTTTGTTTGCTTGCTTGCTTGTTTGAACTCATTTGGCTTGGATTTTATTTGTTAGCATTTTTCCCCCTGAGGAGTAGTAGCTGTTGTAGACTGTGCAGGTAGACCAGAAAGACTCTGCCATGCCTTGATAGAAGTCAAGCTTTCTAGTCCACAGTGCTGCACCACTCCTCTAAACCCAACCACCCTTCCCCCACCTCACCCACCCATCTCTGTGCTGGCAATCAAATCTAAACCTTATACTAGTTGGGCAAGCACTCTACCACTGATCTACCACCCCATTCCTCAGTTATTCCTACTGGTTAGGTAAGCAAGACTCAAAACAGAAGGACAGGAGCCCAGATCACATAAACCACTGTGCTCATGGTCATCTCTTTATACCCCATCTTAGATGAACCCCAGAGTTATTCCTGTGAGTGTTGTACAGTGACCCTCCAGCTATGCACAGCATGGTCATAGGATGGAGGAGGAGGAGGAGAGGAGAGCTCTGGCTGGACATTCTCCTCAAAGTTACAACTTAAGTCTGGCTCAGTGCAGTAATTGCCTTTCCTGCTCCATACCCCACACTCCAACTTTTTGGTTTTCATTTTAGATCCAGACACCTCAAGACAATAGCAGAAGAGTACCCAGCCCTTCCCCAGGGAGCAGAAGCCTCCCTGCCATTAACAGGCAGTGCTTCCTGTGGTGTCCCTGGCATCCTACGAAAAATGTGGACCAGGCACAAGAAGAAGTCTGAATATGTGGGAGCCACCAACAGCGCCTTTGAAGCCGACTAAACTCAACCTTTCATGGGTGCCTTGCATCAGCCAAGGTTCACAGGAAGATAGAAGAGTTGAGGACTGGGACTGAGCCACCCTCCCCTCTGTAGGTTCCTGGTCCAAACGCATCATTATCCCTTACACTCTGGCATGGGGTATGGAAAGTAACATCCTCAGAAGGCAGGAAAGCGGTTCTTTAGAACTGCTAAAGCCATAGGTCTTAAAGTCATGTTGGTCGATTACAAAAGTTATATCCTTATCTTTAGGCAAAACTATACCAAAAGCAAACTTTCCTGGCCTATTTGAAAGCACTCCAAGGAAAACAGTTGAGCTGTCTTCTTTGTGAGTTTTCCCAAGATGTATGGTTCCTGGAGTCTGTGTAAAACTTGATTCTGAGGTACTTGGAACACAGTGGTTCTTACTTTTCCCATTCCATGTGTTTTCCCTTGATGAAGTATCAAACACTTCATCTTTACATTGTTCTAATATCTACTTAACAGCAACCATCATCACTCTGCTTTGCTAACCATGGGCATGACTGCATGAGCTCTCTTCTTTTAGGTGCATTCTTTTCTATAGAAAAGCACTTAAAACGCCAATGTCAATTTTAATGACCAATATTTTGTGATGTGGCTCAATTGACCAGCTTTGTACAATGACTTTCACCCAGAGTGCATTCTCCCATTGTTGTCTCCTGTCACCACTACAAAACGTCTGCTAAGAAAGCACTGTGGCCCCCAACTTACAGATGGGGACACTGGAGCATCTGGATGGCTGTATGTGACTCGACAGCAGGTTTTGGTATTGTCACCAGATCTGAGCTTCTCTAAAAATAACTGATTTAAGAAAATTTTTAAATGGAGAGAAGAATCTGACGTTGGAATGAAATATATCATTCTACATTAGATAATTAAGACACGTGCCAAGGATGGGGATCCCAGTGCCTCAAGAGGATCACATGTCTGAGACAGGCCTGGGCAGCCTAGCAAGACCCTGTGTCAAAAACAAAACAACACGCATGCACCACTCATGTACAGATAGAAAGAGAAAGATTATGCATAGATGAAAACAGAAGAAATCACCATTTTTGTAGGCTGAAACAGCTGCAAATCAACTTCCTGTGGCTCAAACTAGTATTTACTATCCTTTAAAAATGATTATGTAAGAAATAATGGTAACGGAAGCTATCATTTGCTAAATGCTTACCTGCCCTGTGCTGGGCACAGTGTTGAACACCTCGCATGAATTACGCTAATCTTTCTAACAGCTAACTTAGGTGAATTTGCCCTCTGTATATGTTGATACTAACTCAAAAAGGTTAAGTGATTAAAGTCACCTAACTCTAGGTGTCTGACATCGATGCCCATTTTATACCTTCTTCACACAAAATAAGGAACAGGGAAGGACGGAAATCAGCAAAGAATCTTCTGCACTGGGCTGGAAGCGGCTGCCTGGAGCACAGGTGGAGGTGAGGCGTCAGAGTGCAGAGACTGATCAGTGGTATCTGCCTGTGCAGTGATCAGTAACATAGACCTTATATATTTCACATCTGTGGCTTAAATTCTGCCCCCGGAAGTCTTGTTCCCTTATTAAGAGGTTTAAATTAATCCAATCTTCTTAATGAAAGCAGAAACTCTGTGATAAACTCTATCCTTTTTTTTTTGTTTGTTTTTATTTTTTTGTTTTGTTCGAGACAGAGTTTCTCTGTGTAGCCCTGGCTGTCCTGGAACTCACTCTGTAGACCAGAACTCTAGCCTCGAACTCTCGAACTCAGAAATCTGCCTGCCTCTGCCTCCCAAGTGCTGGGATTAAAGGCGTGCGCCACCACTGCCTGGCTGATAAACTCTATCCTAAGATTATGTTGAAACTCACCAGGTCTTGACACAAGAAAGAGTTTGAACTGTTTGGGTCTCAGGCTTGCTTCTGCTGTTCCATGGATTCTGTTCCCCTGTTCATGATGCTTTGGGTAAACTGGAAAATGGTAGTAGGTCAAACACGGCTCTTGCCTTGCTGCCTGCTGCTCTCCCACCTCTGCTTCAGACCCTGAGCATCTGACCCTTATGCCCAAACAGTCTAGACACTTGGGCATCAAATGCTTTGTACCAGTGAGCCATCCAATGTCATATGCAATATTAAGTTGGGATCCAGAACAAAGTTAGGGAACAATTAGGTCACAGAGTCTCCAATGATTGAATTTATTTAACTTAAAATTGATGTCTTACATGTGTGTGTGGCACCTGAAGGTTTATTTTATATGTAGACGGGTCTAATTTATTTATCTTTAATTTAAATATTTCATGGTGAAATGTTTGCCTTGTATAGAACATTTCATTTGGCCAATTCAAATAAAATAAAAGACACCTTGTTAGTGACATTAATAAACCACTTGAAGACTGTGTCTGAGGCTCCCTCACTCAATTTGAGGTTTGCACAATGGGAAAGAATTATGCACCTGGCCCTCACTGCTCCTTGAAATAAGAAGAAAATATGAAACCAGTATGTTCTTTCCATCCTGAGGCAATGTCTAGGTCTGATATCACAGGCCCTGCCACCAGACAGCACCAGGGTCTCAGCTGAAGGGACTGCCTGAACAACTTATAACCCCAGGGCTCCCCTTCCTCCCTGCTTCTGAGGCGTTTCGGCACCACCCATAAGTTCCAGGGTCCCAGTGACCATCCTCAGCCTGCTGACTTCTCCTCTGGCTTGGAAAGATCTAAACTTCCTCCTCTGTGCCCACCTCATGTCTCTTGCTGGAGACTGCCCCCATGACTCACGACACAGCCACTCACCGAATGATGCCAAGGCTTACTGCAGACTCTCTGCAGACTCTGGTAATAACCAAGATTGGAGTCTGCTTGAACCAGAGGCAGGTTTTCCAGGACATGTAGGGTAATAAAACTGCCTCTGTTAGGACAGAAGCCAGTCCCACATTTCTGTCCTCACTCTGGAGATACCTGACCCACCCAGCACCAAGGTTGCCTGGAGCCAGCAGATGGACAGTGGGTAGGAAAAGCAAGGCAGCCAAGACCAATTTTAAAAAGGAATTATGTGACATGTCGTCTCTGATGCAAAGTTGGCAGGGACAAAGGGATAGACAAGGAAGAATGCAGGCAAAGAGAGAGTTCTCTGGAGAATTAAATTTGCACTCTGTCTCTAGTGTCACCTCCACCAAGAAGTCCAGGAAGTTCCCCACAAGTGCATCCCTGTCTCTCTCAAAGGACAAGGAAAAGACTGTTCTGAAGACCAGCCCACAAACCTGGTCATTTGATTTTTATTTTGTCACGTGGGACCTGGGACATGATTCATTATCTATCAATACCCTCTGTTGGGAAGGAGCAAGAAGGTAGAGAGAGGGCAGCAGACGAGCCTGACACGTGCCACCATTGACATTTTGCATCGTTATGGACAGTTTACGCAGGCTATACACTGCTGGCCCTTGCTGAGTCTGTAGAAGCATCCAAGCTGAGAGGTTCTTACAACTGTTTTCCCCACATCTCTCAGACTTCTCAGACCAAACACAAGTGCCCTTTCTGGAATACCACAACCCATACCTCACTCCTCCCATTTTCCCCAGTACTAGGATTTAATCCAGGGTCCTCAGGCAAGCATTGCTGGGCCATAGATCCAACCCTTCCCTATCCCATTTTTAAAGTCTATTTGAATCACTAAGCTACCTGACTGACCTCAGACTTGTAATTCTCTTTCACGGGGCTCCCAAATAGCTGGGGTTATGGGCAGGGGTCATTGTCTCAAGCTCTGGGCCAGAAAGCACGTTTGCCATAGGCAAATTCCCCTATCAGTAGGTGGCTGAGGTTTTGCCTGTCAACCTGAAAGGGCCTACATTTTCAAATAGAGCAGGTATCCCTGAAATGCTGAGCAAATGATGACCCATATTTGGAGGCCAACCCACAAAGAAACAAAGTAAGTGTTTTATTCAACTACCTGATTTCCAGGACTCGATTCACAGAGAGGCCCACCTCATCATCCTGTATTCTTTGTCACACTCCATGGAGCTAAGCATTCTACCTGGCCAGGAAATGGGAGGATTGGCAGAGGGCTGGGGAAACATGAGTTCAGCAGCATCTCTCACTAAGTAGGACACAGCTATTTGTAACATACTAGATTCTACAGGCAATGCTCCAAGAACACACATGTTCCCCAGATGCCAGCCTTTAGATAAAGACAAGAGGCAGCACAAACTATACAAATTGTTTCTTGGTACCACCCAGGACTAGTTCAGACCAAATCTAATCAGTGAGGGCAAGGTAGTTCTCAGTTTCTCAATGTTGTCCCCTCAGCTTAGCAACTTTCCATAAACACACACACACACACATCACTTTTCAGTTCCCTTCCTCGCTTTCCCCACACCCTATCCCTTGACCTCCAGTAGGGCCTGAGATTCCAGTACTCTCTGGCCAGCCAGGCCTCTCCTCTCCTCCACCCAAAGTCTCCTGTCTTGAGTACCCCAAGGTCTGCACTTCCAAATGGCAGAAACCCTGACAATGAGAATTTGGGTGACTGTAGAAACTCATGGAAATTTCTGAGTTCACTTTTTTCATTGGTTGAAAAAGAGAATGTCTTACCTTCCTCTTTGTCTGTCTCAGAAATGATTAAACAAAATTACCTGGGCCAATATGCAGCTGATTTGAATTAGTGTGGCTACTCAAGCAAGACTATTGGAGCACTTCCACACTAGCTAAAAATGCCTGGGACTACCCTGAGCCTCCCTCCATGCTGTCCCTAGTTACTGAGCCCCTCCCTTAAGGTTCTCACCCACTTCTCTATGGCTAATAGTCATGGGCAATGCCCTACAGGTTAGAAGGACAGAAGGCTCAGTTAGTATTATGACCAGTATTCATCCTCGCCAGTCATTTGCTCAGGTTCTGCCAGTTCTTCAAAACCAGACTGTCCTAGAAACAATGCACTAGAATGTGCCTGTCTTATAGGCTAAAGTATAGACCAGGTAAGGGTGAAGTGGACCAGATCAAGAAAGGGTTACTCTTTACATTGTTATGGGT